TTTGTGTAAATGCAAAGACATTTATAGTCAAATCTATTCCAAGGATCTGTATTATAAGACACCTTTAATTTAAATGAGACAATATGTGAAAGTTCTTACCAAATAACCTAAAACACAACAAATGCTCAGTTAAAATTATGTTCGAATTTAAATCTGAACTGCGGCACCTTTTATTACCCATGCCTCTACTTCCCTCTATTGGTATGATGACTGAGAATGGTTAAGTTTTAGGACTCTGCTTTCCAGTAAAGATGTGGTTGTTTCTGAAGCTGTTTCTCTTTATTATAAAGTCATGTCTTCACTATTGCACATACAAATGCAGAAGTCTAGTTATGTAGTTGTTTTTTTTTTTTTTTTTTTTTTTTTGAGACAGAGTTTCGCTCTTGTCGCCCAGGCTGAAGTGCAATGATGTGATCTCAGCTCACTGCAACCTCCGCTTCCCGGGTTCAAGCAGTTCTCCTTGCTTCAGCCTTCTGAGTAGCTGGGATTACAGGCGGGTGCACCACCACAGCCGGCTAATTTTTATATTTTTAGTGGAGACAGGATTTCACCATGTTGGCCAGGCTGGTCTCAACTCCTGACCTCAGGTGATCCGTCCGCCTTGGCCTCCCAAAGTGCTGAGATTATAGGTGAGAGCCACCGCACCCGGCCTAGTTATGTAGAATTTAACCCAACATATGGGTTAGAAAAAATGGACCATGTTCTTTGGGAAAAGTTACCTCAGTTTTCTCTGTTTTTAATACATTGAAATATTTCCAAATATAAATAGAGAATTCAAAAAGAAATCAGAACACAGTTACCCACAAAAGTAGATTATTCTTTTTAGAATATAGAGAAAATATTGTTTTGGTTTCAAAAAGTTGGTTTTGACTGAGTTGGCAATTGGTCACTGTCCTAACTTGTTTGAGGTCTAATGACCTGTTTGGGGATAGAGTGGTCATTTTAGTTTTTTTTTAAAGTGGTTTGAGGCTAAACATAATAAATCTTAAGTCCAACCCATGAGTGTGGGAGACCCTAAAATATTCCAGAAATAACTCAGCTGCCTCTCCCTCTCCCCAAATTAAGGTGATCCCCAAGAGCACTAGGGGACTCAATCACGTGAAATCTCTTCTTGGAGGGCATGAGCCTCTCATTGTTGAGGGTCTGTTGAATCAGCTCTTAATTCCCTTGACTTGAGGTCTGTAGATTGCAGTGGAAATGTTAAGGATCCTGGGAAAGGTGATACATTAAGCTCCTCCTGTATTAAGTTTATTAGGTCCTTTCCTGAGAGGAGATGCTAATGGTGAGAGGGAGCGGAGATTACTTAAGTGGTTAAAAGTCTCAAAATTTACAGATAGGTTTGCCAAGGACCAGCCTTAAACCCAAGTTGTCCTTGGCGATGGTTGTGCACAAATGTTGCTCCCACTGAAGCCACTATGAGCAGCTGCTTCTCGTCTACTACTTCTAGAAAAATAATGGCAGTGGCAATGGGAAAGAGCAGGGGCAAGTGAAGTTGCCCATGGCAAGAATGTCAGAGCTAGAGAGTGGCTCGCGCCTGTAATCCCAGCACTTTGGGAGGCGGGCAGATCACCTGAGGTCAGGAGTTCGAGACCAGCCTGGCCAACATTTTTAGTAGAGGTGAAACCCCATCTCTACTAAAAAAAAATATATATATATATATATATATATATATATATATATATATATATATATATATATATATATATATTTTTAAACTAGTCAGGAGTGGTGGCAGGCGCCTGTAATCCCAGCTACTTGGGAAGCTAAGGTAGGAAAATCACTTGAACCCAAGAGGCGAAGGTTGCAGTAAGCTGAGAATGTATCATTGCACTCCAGCCTGAGCGATGAGTGAAACTCTGTCTCAAAAAAAAAAGTCAGAGCTACGTCAATGGTCAGAGATTGTAATTAGTTTTGTATCTGCATCCCTTAACCTGTCATGTCCCCCTCTGCACAGGGCTGGACAGCCAGCATGCACCTGACCTATCTAACTGCTTAGTAGAGCCTTTTGGGCTATGCTTTAACCCATTCCATTCTTCATTTATTAAAGGCTTCAATTGGAATGAGCCAGGCCCAAAGATTTACCTTTGGAGAAGAGAGATGAAGTCCTGGTAAGACTTCCTAGGTCTATGTGAATCTGCTTGTTGAGGCTGAGTTGTCTCTGTCCACTTGTGGTTGGTATTTCCAGAAATGATTGAATTATTTTCTTCCCATTTAGAAGTTTAACTGTTTGTCTGTGGTCTCATGTTGGGATTTGAAAGCCAGACGTTTTTGCTGCTTCTCATTTCTTTAGGTCACATTTCTGTTGTAAAGCCATTTTTCTTGTGAGGTGGTAAAAAATCTCCATAAACTGTCTTACTTTGCTTAGTAGAATGTCTGTATAGTAGTAATGGCAGTGCCTTACATATGTAGAGCATTTTATAGTTTTCAAAGCATTTCCACATATATTATCTTACTGTGTAATGTTGTCCTGGGTGTTCTATCTTAAGCAACTTAAATATTTTTCTTTTTTCTCCAACCACTTTTGAGGCTACTACACATGGCTGGTTTACTTTTACCTTTCGTATTATTTCCCCCACGGGTTATAAGTGGCAAAGGCATTTTTCAAAGAACAGTAAAACATCTATAAGTGATACTGTTTTCTGATGGCAAAGTGAAGATAACCTGGATGCTCTTTATAAATCATCCCTGAGAATTAGTTCCAGTTCCTTGGATTCACATGATCAGTGGAAGTACCAAAAACAGTTTATTGTAATGATTGTACCTACCCCTTGCCTTTTAAATCAGTAAAATATCTCCTAGATTGAGGGAAACTGTGCAACTCAGAGCCATATAGTAGTTTTGTGGGTGTTCTGTTTTTCATCTTTGTGCCTAGTTTTTGTATTGGTATTATTCATCACCTGGTGAAATTGTAACTTCATTAGCACCCTTTTTCCCCCTAGAATTATGTGGTTATGCAGTATATTACTTGTGAAATAGAAGATGCTTTAAGTTAAAGCCTATAAGGTGGCTCTGTAAATTGTGTTTTAAATGTTTTCTTGCCTGGACATAATGGCTTGTGCCTATAATCCCAGCACTTTGGGAGGCCAAGGCAGGAGGATCACTTGAGACCAGGAGTTTGAGACCAGCCTGGGCAACATAGCAAGACTGCATCTCCACAAAATTTTTTTTTTTTTAATTGGCCAGGCATGGTGGTGTACACTTGTAGTCCCAGCTACTTGGAAGGTTGAGGTGGGAGGATCACTTGAGCCTAGAAGTTAGCGGTTATGGTGAGCTGTGATCACACCGCTATACTCTAGCCTGGGTGACAGCGAAATCCTGTCTCTAAAAAATAAAATAATAAATTATTTAGAGCATTTTAGAGACTCCTTTAAGGTTCATTTAGAGACTACTTTAAGGGTAGACCAAGTAATTCCCTGAACTAACTTCTCATTGCCCTATTCATCCCATATCCTGTCTGAATCATTCCATCACCAGATTCTGGGTGTACCATAGAGACCTAGGCAATGACTTAGAGTATACAAGCCATAGGATATCAGGACTGGGAGGGACCAAGCAAGTTGCTGTGAACCCCTCTTACCCTTGCATTCTCCCTTATACCATCCTTGAGTGGTAAATGAACCTTGGCCCTTACCTCCTAAGGGAGTGGAAAAGTATCCATTTTCTTGAGCCTAAATCTATCTCCCTGTAGCTTCTACTCAATTCAACAAACACTGAGTGCCTACCATGCAGCAGGCACTATTCTAGGCACTGAGGATACATCAGTAAACAGACAGACAAAATAAAGCTCTTATGGAAATCTATCTCCTGGAGTTATAGAAGACAAGCCAAATAATTTTTCTGCACTGAAGCCCTTCAGAAACTTGAAGACTGTGCTCTTGTTCTTCTGAGTCTTCACGTCAAGCTAATATTCCCATTTAACTGGGTGGAATACAGCACCATGCCCTCTCGCGAAGTGGATTGGTTGTCTTTGGATGCATTCTAGTTTTTGATATTTAATAAAATTGATTTTTAGTGGATTGATTTTTCAGAAAGCATTTTGTAATAAAGATAGTAAATACTTAGAGAAATTTTGGAAAATAAAGATAAGTATAAAATATAAGGAAGAAATTACCTGTAATTCCATTACCCACTGTTAAAATATTGGTATATTTCCTTCTAGCTGCTCCCAACTTGTATCTCTTTAGATAGTTGAGATCATAATGCATTACTTATAATTTTGTATCCTGTTTTTTCGCTTATCATTGACATTTGTGCATTCATTATATTGATAAAATCATTGAAATGGTTGCATAGCTGGGCTCAGTGGCTCACACCTGTAATCCTAACACTTTGGAAGGTTAAGGCAAGTGGACTGCTTGAGCTCAGGAGTGTGAGATCAACATGGCGAAACCCCATCTCTACAAAAATACACAAAAATTAGCCAGGCGTCGTGGTGCATGCTTGTAGTTCTGCTATTCAGGAGTCAGAAGTAGGAGAATTACTTGAGCCTGGGAAGCAGAGGTCGCTGTGAGCCAAGAGTATGCCACTGCACTGGCCTGGGTGACATAGTAAGACCCTGTCCCCCCAAAAAAAAAAAAAATTAAAAAAAAGAAAAAAGGCTGTATAATGTGCCAAGAGTGGTAGGGATTCCTGAAGTGGGCTAAACTGTTTCCTTTTCATTAAGCCTTCAGCCTCCCAAGCCACTACACTTTGAGTCATACTTGTCCTATGGGAAGGAAGGTGACAATATATCTCCAGTGGATTCTTTTAACTTAGATTATTCTGGTTATGCTGCTTTCTTTCTGCTCATTCCTTTGTGTTTCCTCATGGTCATGTTCTCCCCATTTGTTTGGCGTATAGGGTTGCCTGTAGAGTTTCCTTGTTACATCAGGATGTCCAGGGGGCCATTTTTTGAGGCCCTGTTCCTGCTAGGTTCAGTCTTGAAGAGTTTGTTGGAACCATTTCTTCTGGTGGACTGAATGATAGCAGGCACAGCACTCACTGTTGTCCTTGAATTACAGGCCTCCAGCTAAACCAGAAGGCCCTCACCACCTTCCCAGATGTGGTACTTGTGCGGGTACCCACACCCTCAGTACAGTCAGACAGTGACATCACTGTCCTGCGACACCTGGAGAAGCTGGGCTGCCGGTTGGTCAATCGTCCACAGAGCATCTTAAATTGCATCAACAAATTCTGGACATTCCAAGAACTGGCTGGACATGGAGTCCCCATGCCAGACACCTTCTCCTATGGTGAGTCAGCTTGAAATATAGTTGGAACATATTTTCCCAAATCACGTGCATCTCTGTTTTCTTTCCCTAGAAACCTTCTAGTATCTTTGTTGTTTTTGAATGTGAGCCTGTCGATTCAACATGTTGGCCTTTCTATCTGAAATCTTTATCCTGGCCTTTCTATCTGAAAATGCCTTGGCATCTTCCCCTCTGTAAGTCATTCCACACTGTGCACCAGGCACCATGCTGGGCACTGGGCTACAGCAGTAAGCAAGTGAGTCCTGCCCTCAAGGCATTGCCAGTTCATCAGAGGCAGAGGACAAGTTAACTGGCAATATCAGAGCAGTGTAAAAAGTGCCATGATAAGGGCCAGTGCAGAGCAGTTCAGGAGTATATAGGAGAGCTCCCAAGGCAGTTTAGACATTGAGGAAGGCTTCCTAAAAGAGCTAACATAGAGCTAAGCTGAAGTTATCTAGCTAAGTGAAGGGAGATAGTGGGAGGGGGTTAATGTAAAGAGAGAGCAGAATATAGAAAGCCCCAGAGGGGAGAGACACACCCTGACCTGTAGGTGGTATTCTGAGTAGTTTGTAGAATGTTAAGAGAATTACAGTTGAAATATAAGCCTGGGAAGATAGGAGGGCACTATATACAGCATGTGAAGATTAGGGTTAATCCTGAGAGTTAACAGGAAGTTATGGGAGGGCTTTAATCAGGGAGGTGGCCTGATAAGGAATTGGACAGGGGCAAAGTAGAGCCAGGACAGTACTGGCAGGTCTTTAAAATAATCCCAGTGAGCAATGGTGGTCTAAACTTACAGTGAGAATGAAGATGTGTGAACAGATTCAGGAATTGTGAAGGTTGTAGAAATAATAGGACATGATGATTACTTTATATGAGAGTACGGAGAGGAATCAAGAGTTTCTGATTTGAGCAACCAGATGTGAAAGCAAACATTCACTAAGACTAGAAATGTGGGAGGAGAGAAGATGATTGATGGGTAGGGGGTGAAGGATTGTAGGGGAGAGATTATTTCAGTTTGAGACATGATCTGTTTGAGGTGTCTGTAGTGCATGCAAGTAAAAATATTTAGGAGGCAGCAGATAAATCAAAGCTTCTGAAAGAGGCGCAGACTAGGGAAGTGTAGTCAGAAACCTTCACTATGTGAGGTGACGTCCCAGGAATGGATGAGAGTACTCAGGGAGATTGTGTAAGAAGAAAAGAGGTCTGATCTGTTCACCTAAAATGGTTAAAATGGTAACTTTTATGTATATTTTAACACAAATTTTTTTTTAAAAGAGGGAATCCTTTAGGGCAGTGGTCCCCAGGCTTTTTGGCACCAGGGACCAGTTTCACAGAAGACAGTTTTTCCACAGATCAGGGGTGGGGTGGGGGAGGATGGTTTCAGGATGAAACTGTTCCTCCTCAGGTCATCACACATTAGTTAGATTGTCATAAGGAGGGGGCAGTTCATGATAGGGTTTGAGCTCCTATGAGAATCTAATGCCACCACTGATCTGGCAGGAGGTGATACTCAGGCAGTGATGCTTGCTTACCCACTGCTCACCTGATTGCTGCCTGGTTCATAACAGACCATGGTCTGGTGCTAGGGTTGGGGACTCCTGCTTTAGGGAATGGGTACAGAAAGAGGAATCTATAAAAGAAACTAATCATTAGAGCTCAGGAGTTCAAAGCTGCTTTGAAGTATGATAATGCCATTGCACTCCAGCCTGGGTGACAGAATGAGACTTCATGCCTTAAAAAAAAAAAAAGAAAAAAGGAAGGAAGGAGGGAGAGAGAGAGGGCAACTACTTGAGAGGTGAGAAGAGAAAGAAAAGAGGGCGCAGAAGCCAGCGGAGAGATTATTCCAAGGATGGTATCATCAAAAGTGTTGCATGATTCCAAAAGGACAACATAATGTGTGTGTGTTGAGTTCAGCAACAGGGAGTTGAATGAATATAGTTTCAGTTTAGTGCTGGAGAGAGGGGTGAGGAAATAAATAGGAAATGAGGAAATGGTATATAACTCTCAGTGGCTTGATGTTAGGGATACAAAATTTTAGTTAAGGGATGATGCAGGTTCAAGGAACAGGGACTCTATTTGCTTAAGATGGAAGAGAACTGAGCATGTTTAAAATGCCTGTGAAATTAGGAATTGTGAGGTTGAATATATAGCAGAGAGGGTGCAGGATCCCTGGGGAGGTGAGAAAGGTGGTCTAAAGCACAGTGGGGCAGGGATGGATTAGGAGGACTTTTCTTACTGCATCATAAAGAAGGGAAGAAAGGATAGCTAGAGAGAACGTAAGCTTATCAGTGGGATGGGTGGAAGTTGGGAGTTCCCTTCTTACAAAACATCTTCTTTATGAAGATTCCCCTAATTTAATTACTTTCACTGCTTCATTGTCCTTTTTTTTTTTAAAATCATTAGCACTCTTGGTCGAGGGCGGTGGCTCAAGCCTGTAATCCCAGCACTTTGGGGGGCCGAGGCGGGTGGATCACGAGGTCAAGAGATCGAGACCATCCTGGTCAAAATGGTGAAACCCCATCTCTACTAAAGATACAAAAAATTAGCTGGGCATGGTGGCGTGTGCCTGTAATCCCAGCTACTCAGGAGGCTGAGGCAGGAGAATTGCCTGAACCCAGGAGGCAGAGGTTGCGGTGAGCCGAGATCGCGCCATTGCACTCCAGCTTGGGTAACAAGAGCGAAACTCCGTCTCAAAAAAAAAAAAAAAAAAAAATCATTAGCAGTCTTGTGAACTAGACAGGTCTTGTTAGTGTTCTAGAGTATTTTGCTTTGCCTGTGATAGGCAGAATAATGCCACTCCCCCACCCTGAGATACCCATGTCCTAATCCCTGGAACCTGTGATTATATTAGGTTATGTGGCAAAAGGGAATTAAGGCAGTAGATGGAGTTGATTGCTAAGCAGATGACCTTAAGGTAGGGAGGTTATTCTAAATTATCCAGGAGGGCCCAATGTTGTATGTGTCCTTAAAAGTGAAAGAGGAAAGCAGAAAAGAGAGTCAGAGGGAGATGTGACCAAGGGGAAGGTCAGAGTGATGACATTTGAGGACCCTACCTGCTATTGCTGGCTTTGGAGATGGAAGAGGGCCAGTAGCCAAGGAAGGTGGGGAGCCTCTAGAACCTGGAAAATGCAAGAAAATAGATTTTCCTCTAGAGCCTAACTTTTTTTTTTTTTGAAACAGCGTTCTGCTCTGTTGTCCAGAGTGTACTGCAGTGGCACGATTGTGGCTCACTGCAGCCTCGACCTCCTGGGCTCAACTATCCTCCACCTTAGCCTCCCAAGTAGCTGGGACCACAGGCATGCACCACCACACCCAGCTAATTTTTGTATTTTTTTGTAGAGGTGGGGTTTCACTATGTTGCCCGGGCTGGTCTCAAACTCCTGAGCTCAGGCAATTCACCCACCTTGATCCCCGCAAAGTGCTGGGATTCCAGGCATGAGCCACCACGCCCAGTCTTGGCTAACATTTTCATTTTAGCCCAGTGAGACCTGTGTTGGACTTCTAACTACAGAACTGTATGACAATAGATCTGTGTTGTTTGAACCACCAAGTTGTTGTAATGTGTTGCAGCAGCAAGAGAAAACTAGCACCCCAGTGTACCTACAAAACACATCGATCTAGCACATTTTTTTAGAACTAAAAAGTGAAAAAAAGGACCTCTAAGCAGCCCAAATATGTGTCACGAATTCCAACAAGCATTCAACCTCCCTCTTTCACTTAATGAATGGGAAAGCCCACCGGACTCTCATCTGGAACCTAGTTTCCCCTGTGCTGGAAAAATCATCTCACAAGCTGCTTTGTCCTTTCTAACCCCACAGCAAAGAGAAGCAGGAAAAGAGACTTCTTTCTGCTCTATAGTGACAGCAGTGAGACTTGTTAGTTGACATCTGACAGCAAGGAATGTGACAAACCATTAAAGAAACCAGGTTCCCAAACTAGAAAGTGCACTAGTTTGGTACCATTAAATGGAGGGCAGAGGTTGTCCCTCAGGGCATTGTAGTACAGCCATTAATGTTCATGACATTGACCCTCAGTTATCAAGGAAAGATTATATTTGATATAGTATATATAGGAACTCAGTTCATGAAGCAATTTAGAACCACTTTCATGCACGTCATTATTCATATTTTTTAAATAAGGCTTATAGGAGTATGGTAGAGCCAGTTCAGCCTTCAGAGTCATACCTTAATTTTGGGAAAGACAAATTCCCAGGCTTGGTTTCCTTTCTATTGCTGCATAACGAACTTCTAAAAACTGAGCAGCTTCAAATTATGCCCATTGATTATCTTGTAGTTTCTGTAGGTCAGAAGTCTAGCCACAGCATAGCTGGGTTCTCTGCTTAGGTCTCCGTAGGCTGAAATCGTGATGTCACCTGGGGCTGTGGTCTCACCTGAAGTCTGGGATCTTTTTCCAAGTTGCCTGGTTGTTGGCACTCAGTTTCTTGCTGTTGTGGGACTGAGTCCCCCACCTCCTTGCTAGCCATCAGTTGGACCATTCTCCTCTAGAGGCTGCCCTCCGCTTCCTGCCACATGGCCTTCACCACAACATGGCAGTTTGCTCCTTCAAGGCCAGAAGAAGAGACACTCTGACATTTCACCTTTTTTTTTTAAAGGGACTCATCTGATTAGGTGAGGCTCACCAGGGGTCATCTTCCTTTCTGTTAAATTCAAAATAACAGGAATGATATCCCAACATAGTTACTGGTCCCTTCCACACTTAGAAGAGGGGATTATACAAGGCGTGTACACCAGGGAGCAGGTATCTTGGGATTCCACCTACCACAGCCGTTGTAAAGGGTAAGGTGTCTATCTATATGATATAAGGATTACATGGACTAGAGCATGTGAAGCCTTTACCACATAGAAGGTACCTTCTAAATGTTGGTTTCTTTACCTCTCTGCTCCCACCTTTTACCTTGCAGGTGCATAATGTGAGTCTGTTCAATCAAATGTGTTTGAATGGCCTTAATTAGAGAGAGAGATGAGGCCTCAGAAGAATTCCTACAGAGGAGCAGGGCTGGGGTGACCATCAGCCTTACCTTCACTGACTTTTACCTTTTCTTGGCAGGTGGGCATGAAGACTTTTCAAAAATGATTGATGAAGCTGAGCCCCTGGGCTACCCAGTCGTGGTGAAGAGCACACGAGGCCACCGGGGTCAGTGCCACCTCTCCAGGGCTTCCTGGGTAATCAGCCCACTAGGGCTGCTGCTCTGCCTGGATAAGACACTTCTCAAGTACTGCTTAGAAAAATGGAGCTCCCCTTTGAGGAGCTTGCAGTGTCCTTTCCTCTTTGTCCTCTGTTCTTACTTTTGTCAGATCCTGCTCATCTCTTCCTTGGACTGTTGCAGCCAGCTCCTGACTTGATGCTGATCGGTTTCCCTAACTCCACTGCCATGGCCTCTTCTGTTTTGTTTTGTTTTGAAGTAATTTCTCTGAAACACAGATCTATTCTTGTCACTCTCTCACTGAAAAACCCTCCCAAGACCATGTGCTGTCTATTAGAGTCCATATTCTTCCTCACGAAATGGAAGACCCTGCTCAAAAGGCCTCAGCCTTCCCTTGCATCCTCCTCTGGCCACATGAACCATTAATAATCCATTCCAGACTACTTCTCATTCACCAAGTAGACCATGCATTTTCCTCTCTTTAAGCGTCTGCTCTTTTCCCTTTGCTGAGAATGCCGTCTTTCTCTGATCACCTGGTCAACTTCTGCTCATCCTTTAAGGCCAACTCCAGGTGTCATTTCTTTTCTACACACATCCCTGATCTCCCTTCCTGTCTTCCAGACAAAATTCATTGCTCTTTCCTTTTGTTTCCAGAGAATTTTGTATGCGCCTCTAGCAGAGTGCTATACTTTATAACAGTTACAGGTTTATATGTCCGCTTCCTTTACTAGACTGCCAGCTGCTCAGTGGTGGGGACCAGGTCCAGAGTATCTTTCTCTGTAAGGCTTACTGCAGTGCTCAGTGCATCATAGGGACTCAGTAGGGACATCAGCAGCAGAAAGTAGTCCTCCTGCAGTATATGAGCAGGTGCCTTATTGGGACACTCAGGCAGCATGCTTAAACGCTCTGGGCATCTGGAGTGAGGGAAGGTCACCCTAAATAGATATGCAGTGAGCAACTACTATGGTGTAGGGACTATGCAGTAGAAATGAAGTAGACAGCACTCCATTCTAGGCGACAGAGCAAGACCTTGTCTCCCCCGACCAAAAAAAAGAACTAGACCCAATCACTGTTCTCTTGGAGTTCAAGTGTGTAGATAGTAGACACAGTTGCATTGCACGGTGATCACTGCCATAGCAGGTATGTCTAGGGGTCTTGAGCCTACAGGAGGGAGGGGACAACTCTGCCATGAAGTCTTCAGTGGAAGAAAAGGAGACTTAAATGGAAGTGTAGAATTTGAACTGGAGGAAGTGAGCGAGCAACACACAAAAGCAGGGGTAGGCAAAGCAACCTTTGAGCGTAGATGAGTCCTGTTGAGGAGCAGAGAAAGGAGCCTGGGTAGCAAAGCGGGGCTCTTAGTGCTATCCAGATATGCTACTGAGCTCAGTTTCAACCAGCCTTTCAACCAGTAATTTTTTGCTATAGTAAAATATACGTAACATAAAATACAAATATTTATTGAGTGTCTACGAAATGCCAGGCACTATTTCAGGCTTTGGGGATACAGATAAGAACAAAAGTTCTTGCGCTCAAGGAGCTTATATTGTAGAAAGGTAAGACAGCAAACGGAAATTAAATATAATACATAATATTTTGTAAATTTAAAAAAATTGAAATATAATTCACATAAAAATTTACCAGTGCAAAGTATAAAATTCTGTGGATTTTAGTGTACTCATTATGTTTTACCACTATTACCACTACTTAATTTCAGAGCATTTCCATGACTTCCAAAAGAAGCTTCATACCTAGTAGTAGTTAGTTCCGATTGCCTCTCCCTCAGTCCCTGGCAACCACTGATTGTTATTAATAATACTTTGTTACTATAGATTTGCCTGTTTTGCCTATTTTATATAAATGCATTTATACAGTATGTGAACTTTTGTGTATGGCTTCTTTCACATAGCATGATGTTTTCAAGGTTCATCCACATTGTAGCAAGTAACACTAATTTATCTCTTTTTGGGACGTAACAATATGTGGTATGGCTGTACCACATTTGGTTTACATGTTCATCAGCTGGTGGATGTTTGGATTGTTTCCACTTCGTGACTATTATGAATAATGCTGCTGTGAACATCTGTGTACAAGAGTTTGTGTGAACACACGTTTTCATTTCTCTTGGATATATCCCTAGGCATGGAATTGCTAGGTCATATAGTAATTCTTTGTGTAACTTTTAGAGGACTGCCAAATTGTTTTTCATAATGGCTATGTCATTTTACATTTCCACCAGCAATGTTTGAGGGTTCCAATTTCTCCATATCCTCACCATCACTTGTTACTTTTTATGTATGTATGTAGGTTTCGATTTGCATTTACCCAAAGCCTAATCGTGTTGGGCATCTTTTCATGTGCTTGTTGGCCATTTGTATACCTTCTTTGGAGGAATGCTTTTTTCATATCCTTCATTCACTTTTTTTTTCTTTTTTCTTGGGAGATGGGGTCTCTCTGTTGCCTAGGCTGGAGTGCAGTGGCACAATCTCGGCTCACTGCAACCTCCATCCCTCAGGTTCAAGCGATTCTCTTGTCTCAACCTCCTGAGAGGCTGGGATTGCAGGTGCCTGCCACCAGGCCCAGCTAATTTTTTTGTATTTTTAGTAGAGCTAGGGTTTCACCATCTTGGCCAGGCTGTCTTGAACTCCTGACCTTGTGATCTACCTGCCTGGGCCTCCCAAAGTGCTGGGATTACAGGCCTGAGCCACCGCGCCCAGCCCCCTTTGCTCACTTTTTAACTGGGTTTTTAATCTTTTTATTTTTCAGTTTGAAGGGTTCTTGTATAATGTAGGTTTTTTTTTTTTTTTTTTTTTGGAGACAGGCTCTGGCTGGACTGCAATGGTGTGATCTCGGCTTATTGCAGCCTCTGCACCTTGGGTTGAAATGATCCTCCTGCCTCAGCCTCCCAAGTAGCTGGGATGATAGACATGTGCCACCATGCCTGGCTGATTTTTGTATTTTTTGTAGAGACAATATTTCGTCATGTTGAGTCTCAAATTCCTGGACTCAAGCCGTCCACCCACCTTGGCCTCCCAAAGTGCTGGGATTACAGGTGTGAGCCACTGCGCCCAGCCATATAATATAGATTCTAAATCCTTATTAGATATATAATAACATGTTTGAACATGTTTTTCCCATTCTGTAGGTTGTCTTTTCATTTCTTGATATAGTAACTTTGATGTACAAAAGTTTTTTTATTTTAGAAAGTCTAACTTGTCTATTTTTCTTTTTTTTGCTTCCATGTGCTTTTGATGTCATTTTTTGCCTTCTAAAAGCTTTATAGTTTTAGCTTTTTCCTTTGAGTCTTTGATCCATTTTGAGTTAATATTTATATATGGTATGAGGTAGGGGTTCAACTTTATTCTTTTGCATGTGGATATACAGTTTTCCTAATATCATTTGTTGAAGAGCCTGTTTGTTTCCCCACTAAATGCTGTTGGAACCCTTGTCAAAAATCAGTTCACCGTGTATGAAGGTTTATTTCTGGGCCTTCAATTTTATTCCATTGATATAGTTCTATCTTTATGCCAGACCACACTGTCTTAATTACTGTAACTTTATAGTAAGTTTTGAAATTGGACCGTTGTTCTCTCAAATGGCATTAACCATCCTTGTCGTAATAGCTTCCTAGGGCTAGCATGAAGTATAGGTGAAATAACAAAAAATCAAAGTGCTTGGCACTTAGTACATTATTAGCCAATCTTGCTGCCATTCTCTCCTTTTTTCCTTCTTGACTTAAAACTGTAGCTCCTTTATTAACTGCAGACTGAGCCCCGTATTAGAACTTCTGTACCAGAAACCAAGAAACCCAGTTCCTATCTCTAGCCCCCATCTCTGCTGAAAATCCTTCCTAATGTCCAGATAAATCCAGTGCATATACCTGAATTCCAGCCATCTGTTGCCAGAAGCCATATCTCCTGGCATCAGATGTGTACCTGCTTGCCCCACACTCATTGATTGAAGACAGGTAACACTGATGCTGCATCGTGCACACTTGCTGGGGCCTTTCCATTTTCCTCCTGTGCCCCCTTGCTGGGCCCTCTCCAGCTTCCCTGACACTGATGCCCACCCTTCTGTCACCTGCCACATGGACATCTTCAGATCATGTGGCCCTACTCCTCTAGCTCTTTCAGGTGTCTAGGGTCCAGTCATCTTGGGAATGATTGCTTCCTGGTTATAACACGTTTTGGAGGTTACGTTTCAGTTGTATGTACCACTAGGGACTGGTCTTTTTGTTAGGACTTCAGAAGAGTTTCACTCCTTGTAAGATGGTGACACAAAGCTTAGGAAAACCATCACTTTGTTCCATATTTGCTGAAAAGAATGCTCAGACTAGGCATACTCATGTCAGCTTTGCAGAGCAAATTTATCAGAACATCTGCTCAGGTCTAATATAATATAATTGGTATATTAGCTAATGTTGGCTAATATACCAATGGAAAAGCCAATGTTGGATGGGCATGGTGACTCACACCTGTAATCCCAGCACTTTGGGAGGCCGAGACAGGCAGATCACTTGAGGCCAGGAATTTGAGACGAGCTGGCTGACATGGTGAAACCCTGTCTCCACTAAAAATATAAAAATTAGCCAGGTGTGGTGGTGCATGCCTGTAATCCCAGCTACTTTGGAGGCTGAGGCAGAAGAATTGCTTTAACCCAGGAGGCAGAAGTTGCAGTGAGCCAATATCACACCACTGTACTCCCGCCTGGGTGACAGAGCAAGACTGTCTTTTTTTTTTTTTTTTTTTTTTGAGATGGAGTTTTGCTCTTGTTACCCAGGCTGGAGTGCAATGGAGTGATCTCGGCTCACCGCAACCTCTGCCTCCTGGGTTCAGGCAATTCTCCTGCCTCAGCCTCCTGAGGAGCGGGGATTACAGGCACACGCCACCATGCCCAGCTAATTTTTTTGTATTTTTAGTAGAGATGGGGTTTCACCATGTTGACCAGAATGGTCTCGATCTGTTGACCTAGTGATCCACCTGCCTCAGCCTCCCAAAGTGCTGGGATTACAGGCTTGAGCCACCGCGCCCGGCCCAAGACTGTCTAAAAAAAAAAAAAAAAAAAAAAAAAAAGCTGATGCTAAATAATTACAAAAGTGTAGGAGATTTGAACAGAAAGAATTTAGGCCAGGTGCAGTGGCTCACGCCTGTAATCCCAGCACTTTGGGAAGCTGAGGCCGGTGGATCAGGAGATCAAGAGTTCCAAGACCAGTCTGGCCAAGATGGTGAAACCCCATCCCTATTAAAAATACAAAAATTAGCCTGGCACAGTGGTGGGCTCCTGTAATCCCAGCTACTCGGGAGGCTGAGGCAGAAGAATCGCTTGAACCTAGGAGAAAGAGGTTGCAGTGAGCTGAGATTGCGCCAACTGTACTCTACCCTGGGCAACAGAGCAAGACTCCATCTTAAAAAAAAAAAGAATTCAGAATCAAGAAGGAATGCTTTCTGTAGAGATTAGTAGAGGCATAGGCCATTCCTTTCAGAATTAAATGGTGTAGGCAAATAATAACTTTATGTCTAAAGGGAAGGATGCCTGTCAGTGGTTCCCTCCTTTGAGCTCCCAAAGAATTATGCATAGACCTCTCTTGATGTTATATCACGCTGTGCTACCTTTTTCTGAATCTCTTTCCATCCAGACTTGGAATTTCTCTAATGTATGTTCAATAAATTATGTTATACAAACATTAATTGACATCTTCCCTGTGCATATAACCCAGCGTTAGGTTTGGGGAATTTTTTAATAATGAGGTAGATGTGGACCCTGCCTAATCAGCATCCTGGGGGGTGATGGGAGATGCTAAATTAACTGTTTTGGAACTGAATTGATTAGATCCTTGGGGTTCTATTTTGGCTCTTTCTTTGTGTTTCTGGACCATATTATTATGTCATTCCAAAAAGAGTGATGGTGAAGGGAAAGGGTATTAGGACCTGAGGAAAGTTAAGGGAAAGTAAGGTTCATTGGTCATTTGATAAGAAGCAAAAGTCAGGCTGGGTGCAGTGGCTCACGCCTGTAATCCCAGCACTTTGGGAGGCTGAGACGGGTGGATCACGAGGTCAGGAGATTGAGACCATCCTGGCCAATGTAGTGAAACCCTGTCTCTACGAAAAATACAAAACTTAAATACAAAATACAGAATGGTGGATGTAATCCCAGCTACTCAGAAGGCTGAAGCAGGAGAATCACCTGAACCCAGGAGGCAGAGGTTGCAGTAAGACTCCGTCTCAAAAAAAAAAAAAAAAAAAAGGCAGCAAAAATCTAGCAGAGAAATAGAAGGGATCAAAGTGAGGCAAGTTCAGAGAGAACTGATGACTTTATGGACAAGGAGGCCAAATGGCAAGAACAGTGTCCAGAGGCTTCTCTAACCCCTTGCCTCGCTCTTTGTCTTTCTTCTTAAAGGAAAAGCTGTTTTTCTGGCAAGAGATAAACATCACCTCTCTGACATCTGCCATCTGATCCGCCATGATGTACCCTACCTGTTCCAGAAGTACGTGAAGGAGTCCCATGGAAAGGACATCCGGGTGGTGGTGGTAGGGGGCCAGGTCATAGGCTCTATGCTTCGCTGTTCCACTGATGGACGGATGCAGAGCAACTGCTCTCTCGGTAAGGTATAAAAGCGCAGGGTGTCATTAGGGTGTTTGGACCCATTCAGCAAATGTATGTCAATCCCTACTGTCTTGCTGGACCCTCTGCTAGACACCAGGATCTCCTAGATGAGAATGAGGAACAAACCCTTTCCTGTGGCAGCAAGCAGTCCAGGAGGGGAGCATATGAGTGTAAGTGCTGTGGCAGAGGTCAGGCAAAGAGGGTCAGGACATGGAAGACTGAACCCTCTCCTCTAGGTGTTAAGACTTAAAACAGTGACATGAAGACCAACGCTGGAGAAAAACTCCCATTTAGGTAAAGGATGGAGCAAAGGCATAAGATGGGAGGTAGGGAGGTGAGTTTTGAAGCTGTTGCAACAACTCAGGCAAAAAAATGATGAGTCTAAACTAAAGTGATGACAGGAGAAATAACATATTTTCCTTTTATATTTTAATGGAAAATGTTTTCCTGTGTTGTATGATGCTATTAGAAAGCTACAGTTTATGCTTTGGTTGCATGCATAAACACATCCCATTAACCTGTTGATAGTGTTTGTTTTCTGTTGTGCTGAATGGCGATATTCCAAGAGTTCTTGTCCCCATCACAAAAAATTATTGTCAGCCTCATTGAATGAGTTTGTATGTTGGTAATAGGAAAAAAAATCACAATCGCTAGTTTGATTTCCTAAATTGCTAGATTTCCTAAATCACCAGAAGGATATTCCAAGTCCAGTGACTGATAAAGAGGCTTAGATGCTATCTGGCACTTCTTTAATTGATAGTCATTGGGCATTTCCAGGAACAGACTCTATGATAGATGTTATGAGAGAGCCCTTGCCCTCGGGTAGCATGTGATCCCATAAATAAGACATATGGGCCATGTGTGGTGGCTTAAGCCTGTAATCCCAGCATTTTGGAAAGCCAAGGCAGGAAGATCACTTAAAGCCAGGAGTTTGAGACCAGCCTGGACAACAAAGCGAGACCCCTATCTCTACAGAAAAAATTTTAAAAGTTAGCCAAGTATACTAGCACATGCCTGTAGTACCAAGAAGCTCAGGTGAGAGGATCCTTTGAGCCTAGGAGTTTGAGGCTGCAGTGAGCTATGATTGCACCATAGCACTCCAGTTTGGGCAATAGAGTGAGACCTTACCTCTTTAAAAAAAAAAGAGAGAGAGAGATAACTGTAAGATACTGTGATTAAGTGGTGTGATGGGGTCAAATGCTAGATTCAAGTTGAAAGATTCAAGTTAACACACTACTAAGTACCTTACATGTTATCTCACTTTTTTTTTTTTTTTCGTTTTTGAGACAGTTTTGCTCTGTTGCCCAGGCTAGAATGCAGTGGCATGATCCCGGCTCACTGTAACCTCCACCTCCCTGGTTCAAGTGATTCTTATGTCTCAGCCACTTGAGTAGCTGGGATTATAGGCGTGTATCACCACACCTGGCTGATTTTTGTATTTTTAGTAGAGACAGGGTTTCATCATGTGGGCCAGGCTAGCCTCAAGAGATCCACCCTGCTCAGCCTCCCAAAGTGCTGGGATTATAGGTGTGAGCCGCCATGCCCAGCCCATTTTAATGATAATCATGTTTAGTGCCACAGTATTGAACCGTGTGTGTTATTTTTACTTTTTTAGTTACCTTACAAAATCCATTCGTTAGTAATCATGTGGTTTTATAATTTATCCATGTTACTTTTCTTAGTGAGCCATTTTAAAACTGTTTTATAGCCTTTTTTAGATGCAGTGTCATAGGTGGGAAGGAACAGTGTTAAGGTAAACACACTAGTTATTGGACCTAAGAATACAATTCTTAAATCTTTCCAAGGAGGCTAACTGGAGACAATTAAATCTGAAGTCCTAGTTTTTTAGCAAAGTAAGGGCAATCAGTGTCTCTGTCCTTCGTACAGAATTTTGTCTCAGTCCTTTCCGTCTCTCTCTCTCTCTCTCTTTTTTTTTTTTTGGTCAATTAAGGCATTTTACTTATAAATATTAATATGTATTACATCCCTAGTAAAAGAATCCCAGGATTTTTCTACCTGTGTGTTTCCATCTTACTTCTTCACAGGCCATGGTGGCCATGATGCCAGCTGAGGTTGTCAGTACAGGGAAACCAAACTGATGGGATGGGAGCAGATTATTCTGCCATTTTTCTAGATCTTCAAGTTGCACATCAGACAGGGTTTGTTCTTTCCACCCTTGTTTAACCTGCCTACAAGGTTCACAACAGTTTTCCCAGCTCTGTGATCATCAGTGATTTCAGATTTACCAGCATAACTATGCTTTGCACCACAGCTAGAAACCAGATGATGACTTTGGAGCATGGCCTAATAAGAACCTGGCATTTGTCTCTCTTTTCGGCATTCGTGATGCTCTCGAGAGTATCAGCCAGGGCATTGACATGCACTGTTATGGTAGCACAGAAAGATGGCAGAAAGAGCCATCTCTCTCTCCTTAAAAATCAAGAAGTTAATTTTATTTCTTCTATTCTTAAGAGGAATACATTCTCAGTTAGAAAATTTGGAAAATATGACCAGGTGCGGTGTCACACTTGAAATCCAAGCACTTTGGGAGGCCAAGGTGGGCGGATCACCTGAGGTCAGGAGTTTGAAATTAGCCTGTCCAACATGGTGAAACCCTGTCTCTACTAAAAATACAACAATTAGCCAGGCATTGTGGTGGGCGCCTGTAATCCCAGCTACTCAGGAGGATGAGGCAGGAGGAGAATCGCTTGAACCCAGGATGTGGAGGTTGCAGTGAGTCGAGATCGTGCTGCTGCACTCCAGCCTTGAGTGACAGGGCAAGCAGAGCAAGATTGTCCAAAAAGATTTTTTTTGGAAAACACAGCAAAGTCAAATGAGAAAGGTATTTATCATCCCCACCATTTAGAGAAAACAACTGTTAATATTTTGGTGTAACTTACAGTCTTTTCTTCTGAGAAATCTCTTTTTGCCTAGTTATGGTCATGTTGTATAGTCTTTTTTTTTTTTTTTTTTTAGATGGAGTTTTGCTCTTGTTGCCCAGGCCAGAGTGCAATGGTGCAATCTTGGCTCACTGCAACCTTTGCCTCTTGGGTTCAAGTGATTCTCCTGCCTCAGCCTCTGGAGTAGCAGGGATTACAGGCATTCATCACCATGTCTGGCTAATTTTATATTTTTAGTAGAGACGGGGTTTCTCCATGTTGATCAGTCTGGTGTAGAACTCCCGACCTTAGGTGATCTGCCTACTCAGCCTCCCAAAGTGCTGGGATTACAGGCATGAGCCACTGCGCCCAGCCATATCGTAGAGTCTTAAATCCCCTGTTTTCCCATGTGATTACAAGCTCTCTGTGGGCACTATTATTTATTTTATTTTTGAAAAAGAGTTTCACTCTGTGAAACAGGCTGGTATGCAGTGGCATGATCATGGCTCACTGCAGCCTCAAACTCCTGGGCTCTAGGGTTCCTCCCACCCCAACCTCCCAAGTAGCTCGAACTGTAGCTGGGACTGCAGCTACTTAGGAGGCTGGGGTGGGAGGAACCCTACAGCAAACCACCACACCCACCTATTTTCATTTTTATTTTTATTTTTTATAGAGATGGGGTCTCGCTATGATGCCCAGGCTAGCCCAAACTCTTGGCCTCAAGCAGTCCTCTCACCTCAGCCTCCCAAAGTGCTGAGATTACAGGCATCAGTCACCATACCCAGCTCGCATTATTATTAATGGATGTAAAATACACTGTTTTTCTCTGTTGTATTTCTTCATTCAATATTTGTTGAATATTTATTGAGTGCCTGTCATGTACCTGGCTCTGTGATTTGTATTTTAAATAATACTGCCATCAACATCTTTGTGCATAAAGCTTCCCCCCACCACCATACATAAGATTATTCCCTTGATGGTGGGATGGCTGGGTCAGAGGAAATTGACATTTTTAAGACCAGATAAAAAATGACCATAGGCCAGGCGAAGTGGCTCAAGCCTGTAGTCCCAGCACTTTGGGAGGCTGAGGTGGATGGATTGCCTGAGGTGAGGAGTTCGAGACCACCCTAACCAATATGGTGAAACCCATCTCTACTAAAAATACAAAAAAAATTAGCCACGCGCAGTGGTGGGCACCTGTTGTCCCAGGCAGGAGAATTGCTTGAACCCAGAAGGTGGCGATCACAGTGAGCTAAGACCACACCACTGCACTCCATCCTAGGGGACAAAGCGACACTCCGTCTCAAAAAAAATGACTGTATTGTTTTCCCAAAGCGGGTACTGATTTCCGTCCAGACCGTTTGCGATTAATCCTCGAGCCTGTCTGTCTGCCCCTCCTGGGCAGACCCCTGTCCCTTCTTTGAAGAGTCATTTGACTTCTCATTTGTCACCTTTACACCCCTGTGCTTTCCCCACAGGTGGCGTAGGCGTCATGTGCCCGCTGACAGAACAAGGCAAGCAGTTGGCCATTCAGGTGTCCAACATCCTAGGCATGGACTTCTGCGGCATTGATCTGCTTATCATGGACGATGGCTCCTTTGTGGTGTGTGAGGCAAACGCTAATGTCGGCTTCCTTGCCTTTGACCAGGCGTGCAACTTAGATGTGGGTGGGATCATTGCAGACTATACCATGTCCTTGCTGCCAAATAGGCAGGCTGGGAAGATGGCTGTCCTCCCAGGACTGTCGAGTCCGAGGGAGAAGAACGAGCCAGATGGCTGTGCTTCAGCTCAGGGAGTTGCAGAGAGTGTCTATACCATCAACAGTGGGTCTACCTCTAGCGAAAGTGAGCCTGAACTGGGAGAGGTCCGGGATTCCTCAGCAAGCACAATGGGGGCCCCACCCTCCATGCTGCCCGAACCTGGCTACAACATTAACAACAGGATTGCTTCTGAATTAAAACTTAAGTGAATTCCTGCTTTTTGGCAGCATTTAAACCAAATCCTACCGCTTCCCTAGTAGTTTTGAGTGAATAAAATCTGGACTAATGTGATTTCATTTGCACTGAAACTAGAAATCCCATCTGGGCACTCAGCATTTTTTCTAATGATGATTTAAGCAAATGGCCTAGCTTTGTGGTTTTTACAAAGACAAATATAAAACAGAAACCAAGAACAACATCCCGACTGATCAATAGGAGACTGATGTCTGCCGTGAGCACGTGGCTATTATGGCTGACTTTAAGGCACTGACTGCTGCTGCTGCTTCTGACTTTTAGCAGTAGAATCCATTAACTCCAAATGGCTCTTGGAAATATGTACTCAAAAGCAACCACGGGATGGAAGCATGTACAGACAAGGTGGAATGTGACTGCAGTAATACATTCTTCACTAAGTGTGTGTGTGATGCTTGGAAAATACACAGTTCAAACACTATTAGAGGATCGATATCTGCTCCCCATCAATCACCATCTTGACCCTATTTCTCTGACACTCAGGATATGGTGTTTTAGGGAGCTTCCTCATTAGTATTTTCAATGAAGCACTTTGTAGAAAGTGAGATTGAACATTATTTGACTTCACAGGTTGGCAAATGTCCTGCTTTGTAACTGGGCCTTTCTACAAATTGCTTTGCCACTCTGAATTTATAGACCCTGCTTCAACTAATGTCAGCTCCAGCAGCTTCTTGCACCTTTGCTGCCTTTGGCCTTAGCTGGAAATGCACTTCAATGAGCTAGTGGCCACACACTTTATTTCTTAAGCGTGCACTAGAATCTAACACCATGGACTTTCTTTTTCAATGGACTCTGTTCACTTGTCATCCAGAAACCAGTGGGTTTTAACCATAGAAAGCAACTCGGAGATCATGTTTCTTCCCCTCCTCTCCTGAAATTTTGTGTACTGCTTAGCTGTAGGAGGTTTCCTTGTATGAGTGGGTGTATGAGTAGATGGGAGCCATTGGAAACACTTCAATCCCCTTGAAATTCTACTTTTATCTAGGATCCAGACACCTGTCCTTGCCCACTTTTCCAAACTGGGAAGACTCAGGTATCAGGAATTACTCATTGCACATTTTGAGGGGGCTAATGTAGACATGACACCAAGTGCTTTTCATTTGATTTAAGCAGTAGATGAGATCTTTCCCATGGGAGAAATCACAGAGATGGAGTTTTCCATTTCTGCTTATATGAAGTATGACTGAATGTGAGCAAAGCTACCTTTTTAACCAAATACACTAGAACATATGCACTCAAGAGTTAGCATAATTGGAGTTACTTCCTTGATGCTGCATGCGCCAAGAACACTTAGGGTTCCTCTTTGGGATTACCTTTGAAGCCATGCAAGTAAAGAGGCCTCACAACTTTATAGTCAGACCTTGTGTTTTATCCAACCCTTCCTCCTGCCCACCAAGGAAATCCTGAGCTTCATCATCCATTTTATTTAGCAGACTTATTTTCTAATGCTCCTTAGCTGTTAAAAATAATTCCTCAAGAAATAGATCTACCCTTAAAGGACAAAGATTTACCAACACTGAAGACCCTTACAAGTTGACAGTTTCTAAAGAGGGTTCTAGAAATGTTCTAGATAAGGTCAGCTTCACTGGAATAAACATACATCTTCCTAAGGTGACTACTTTGAAAGCAACACTACCCATTCGGGTGCAGATATTACTGTACTTATTCTGCCATAAATGTAAAATGTGTATAAAGTTAAGCTATTGCATTTTTTCATAAAACATTTAAATAGAAATTGGCTTTTAAAGTATTGTAGTTAAAACCAGATCTCACCAATAGTTATACAATTGACAAATGTTTGGTGCCATGTAATGGAGATGTCACACTACTAAATTGTAGTTTAAATGAAGTCCAACATAAGGTGCATGCCACTGACTGTAACCCTAGTAATGTGTCTTGTACAGTTGAAAAATGATAATACTTCACCTTTATATAGGTTATGACATGTACCTTATCTTTACCACTCAGGGTGGCTTTAAAAGACGGACAGCCTTAGGTTTGTTCTCACTGGAATTGGTTACACTTTCTGTGCAAACTTCTGAACCAAGTGATGACCATCTGGAAGCTGCATTCCCTCATTTCCACTGTTTGGTGTGAATCTATTCTCCCCACTTAATCTAAAAGGATGCTAGCAGGACCCCTGCCTGAGCAGAGCAGCTAGAGAGCTTCCAGATTCCTTTGCCAAAGGAGGCCCATTTTCCAGCTGTGAGTAACATCTGTAGTCATTGGCTTCATTGCCTGGCACCAGCCCTGTCTAGAAGTGGAGAAAGCTGGATCACAGCTGGACCACAACCAGCCCCAGTCCAGGATTTCCCATACCACATTGGCTGTGGGCTCTGCAAGCCTCAGCCAGGTGGCCAGGCTCTACTTGTCACAGCTGGCCACAGGCCTGCTGAAGGAACATGGGGTACAGAGCCAGAGGCTGGCTCTGGCTCTCCCCTTGAACAGCTGACCTTGTGCAACCACGGGAACTCTGTCTCCATGTTTCTCATTCAGATAGAGAAAATGCTTCATTTACCTCTTTGAGGCTGAAGTAAGTAAGTGACTGGTGCATGTAAGTTAATAGTAGTAGAATACTTCCCACATCTGATTTTATAACAGTTTCCCATCACTCCTTAAGAAAGGAAAAGGACATGAATTCTTGGCATTAGCACACTAAACAGTGGTAGGGGCCCTGAGAAAGGAATGCAGCTTCTCAGAGGCCTCACTTCCAGCTGGGGAAACGTAAGACCCGAAAGAAATAAGGCTCTTTGTGTATTCAAACAGCCTTCTGGATTTATCGTATATAACCTGAAACTCTCCACTCTTGTGTACCAACTAACGAAGTCTTCCTTATGTAACATAGATTGCAGTGTCTGTATATGGTCTTCCATTATCTGGTGGTAGCATCTTGAAACTGGTCAAAACTTGAATGCCAATAGCTCAGTCACTCAGAATATACATGATTCTGCACTTGGGAAAAATGTCTTCATGCTGTTTTTCTGATTGGGTATGGGGTTGCCAGAATGAGGATTTGGCGCTTTAGGTCTTTAGGATCTCAGAAACAATGTAAGTGGATTATACGCCACTAGTGTCACAATTGCAGGCTCATTGCTTCCAGCTAAAAGGAGATTCCATGACCATGGGGACCAGGAGAGGAGGAAAGGGAAAAGGGAAAGGTCTGGAACAGTTTTGTGAAAGAAAAAATTGGGATCATTTGGAATTCTAGAAGGAAGGAGGAGAAAATGGCTCTTCTGTGGGCTGTTTTAATGACAGAATCATGAATATGTATTGATTAGAGGTAGATGTCTTTGAAGCTATTCTGTATAAAAATAATGAGATGCATGGATTTCCATCCACCCTGGAGAAGTGCAAGAGATGTGCTTCCTTCCTTCTTTAAATCCTGAGGAATGCTGGTCTTGAGAGCACTGAATACAAATCTGGGAAAGATGTAAGCAGCTGGCAGAGGGGTTTTAGAACCACCCAAATAAAAGGTGACCTTCCCAGAGGCTAATGAACCGAAATACTATGTGCAGGCATAGCCTGGAGCCACAGCTTTAGCAGGTCAGTTTAAGGAGTCAGGTGGGAGAGTAAATCCAGCATGAGTCCAGGCACTACACCTTAGTATTTTCCTCTGCAACTGTAAGTAAGCCTGTTTGCCATTAGTCTGAGTGGATGTCTTGGGAAGGGCGCTGGTAATAGTCATATTTGTCACTGTCCCTAAAGTGAATGTTCGTAGATCTGGGACTATTTTTTACTCTACCTCTGAGACTCAAGATCAGTACAGATTGTTATTTTAAAATGTTACCTGGAAGACCATCCTTCTCAGGGATATGCCGTTTTAATCCTTCCTTAAAACTAAATCATGCCTCCATTCCAAGTCTATGGCTAGACTCTGCAGCCCTCCCTCCTAAAACCACAGGGCTGAATGTGAAAACTTTCTTCTGTTGAGCCTTTCCATTTCCTTCTCCAGGTATGGTTCTTGTGCCAATATGCACTATCCCAAGCCCTGCGCTGGCATTCCAACCTGATTTGGTAATTTCCCTGTGAGGTTTGTGTTCTCTGGGGCTCCAGGGCAACACTAAGAAAGTCACTTATGAGGCCCTTTTGAGGTCATGGAAATAGCATTTTGGAGGCCAGTCTAGTCCCCCATTTTATAAACAGGGAATCTTAGTTCCAGAGGCAATGGTCCCTTGCCAGTCAATAGCAAGGCTGGACTTCAGCGATCTGATTCCTCATCCAGTTTGGCATCCTGCTGGTAGTAGCTCCATCCCTCCCTGGAATCTAGCACATGCTGTCATCCTGGGCCTACCCTCCGCCTCTTCCCCTTCTGATGAGCCTCTGTTCTGGATCAACACGGTGTTGATGCACCAGCTATCAAGGGTTCAGCACTTGGTTGGCTTCTAGGTGAGAACCCCAAAGGCATGTATATTTCCATGATGCAAGCTGGCTCATGGCCTGCGCCATCTTTAGACCAGCCAAGATCATTTAACTCTACCCCATACTTTGAGTGGTGGGATGTGAGGAAGAAAATCCATGCCAAGCTAACTGAAAGCTTATTTGGCTCCAGTTTGACTGATGTTCCCTCACTGCAGAATGTCCTGGATCCCAGGGGTTTGCAGCTCGTAAACCTATTGCATTAGGCACACCCAAGAAGAAACCCTGTTTGATGCACGTGCTCCAGTTTGATTCAGCAACAAGGTCCAAAGTTTCCTCCCACTTTCTGTTCCACAGTGTGTGTCCCCCTTGCAGCCAGACATTAGGCACAGATTCATCCCTGTGGTAACCCAAATGTCAGCTGAGGACTCCCTGCCTCTTGAGATCCAGAAAGGTCTGATGACTGGGCTCTGGTTCTGAACCTCTAGATTTCTGTGATTTCTAAGAGACTTATATTTTTGCAGCCACTGCTGACTCCACACTTATGCTACCTCATTTTAAACAACGTCTTATCCCTGCAATGCATCAGCTGAGACATGAAGCTCAGTTCCCTTGCCCATTTCCACTTGCAAAATTCAAGTGAGTGAGTGTGTGTGCCTGTGTTTGTCTCAGTGACATGGGAA